ACTTCTTTTTCTGATTTTAAAGAGTGCTCAGAAAAAGCTTTGTTTTTTTTTCCCCTAATGATTGTTTACTGAATATTATTTATTAGATGACCACCCCAAGTGTTAGGCAGCTAAAGGGATAGCCCACCAAAAAAAAGCCCTGCTTAAAGAAACCAAAAATAAAAATCTTGTTAGGGAAATAAAAGCTACACAAATGAGAGCATGACAAAAAGAGGAGTAGTTGAGACAGTGCTAGAGGAGCTCAGGTCCCAAGAAGTTATCCAATACTGATCCCATAGGCCATGAATAATCCTTTAAAACTCTGGAATGTTCTGAAAGATGGTAGCTATCTCTAATTAGGGGCAGCTATAAATGGAGAACTAAGTTGTATTTGGAAATCTCTAACAGCTATTACTTTTGTCTTGTTTTGTTTAAAAAAAAAATAAGGTAGGAAACAGAGGTAAGAGGTAAAACCAGGTGCTACCACCTGTATTTCTGAATTTCTTCTAATTAAATTGTGCCCATTAATGATCACATTGTACCTATAGCACCATTATAGCTCAGAGCTCATCTACACTTCCCTCCTCCTCAACGGCTTAGATAAGTCACTCAAGACTTGAGGCATCCCTCCCTACCAAAAAAAAAAATCCACTACATGGGTTGCCACAAATTAAATCTAGAATATTATAGAACCGTTTTAAAAAAAAAAAACACACACACACATACTGAAAGGGGCATAGGGACAGAATATTTACTGTTACAACAGATATTTCCTTTTATTTCATGAGATAGTTTGACCCTTCTCTAAATTCATGTTAATAACGAACATATTATAAAAAGGAACTTTATGTAGGCATGATATATATGTATATATATATAGATATATAGATATATGGCATGATAGATACAGGGTTAATCTCAAAACCAGCACAACTTAGGTTCAATTCCTGCCTTTGACACTGGCTATGTGACAATGGAGAAGTCACAACCTCTGAAGGTCACAAACAACACCAAAAGAAAATAAAAATCAAATAAATTAGATTATACCCTCCTTGTGAGAGGAAAGGATGAGAGGGCATGAAGTGTTTAACAACTCCATTTCATTGGGGGGAAAAGGCAAGAAAAGCCCTCAGGGGCAGGAAAATAGTCCAGGAGGCTACAGTGTAAGCATTACCCCTGCACAATGATTACCCTGACGTGTTTCTACAACAGCAGTTCCTTTTTATGAACTGTTGTAAGCTGCCTTCTGGGTGCGAACCCACAGTTGTTAATTACATCCAGAAAGGAAAGATTGCAGGTCAACCTGGTCCTCCATTAGCCAAGGGCCAGGGGCCCTGGAATTACCTCCCAGGACTCATTTATAAATTACACTCCTCTACCACTGAGAAATGGGGAGGCAGAATAATTTTAAAAGTTAAGGGATCTCTGTAGCAATGCTGATAAAGGGTTAGCAGGCTATATTGAGGATAGGCCTGAAGGGTTTCCCTTTCCTTTGTACAACAGACTTCCAAGCACAAACCCTTAATAGAATTCATCAGTTCATCCAGGGTGATCAAGTTCTGATGAATTGATTCACAATAACTAAACTCACCAAAGACTCAAATATAAAGCAGAATGCAAATTTATTGATTTACAGAGGGGATCACTGGTACAATATACACTTCCTGGTGGAAATGTCTACTAGAGAAACCAAATTACAGGTCAGAAGGTTGCGTGGTGATTGGAAAGTCAGAGTGAAGGAAGCTGAATAGTCCTAAAAGATATTTTCAAGATGAGACGGCCCAGGGAGGCAACCTTTCCATCTTCAGAATATTTCTCTTAGAACAACCAGGATTAGTTGTCTGATCCTGCCCTGGACAGTGCTAGAGACAGATTCCTACCCTCCTTTTTCTGGATTCCACACAGACCATCACCATTCTGTTTGTACTTTTCATTATAACACCACTCCTCTTCATTTAAATATACTTTAACAACCTAGATTGTTTGCAAGTTTATAATTTATTTACATTTATTACATTTTAGGTACATTGCCTTGCAAGAAAAATATTACTAAGGGACCTTTTATTACTATATCCTGAAACTATGTCCTGAGCCGGGCTAAGTAATAGTATATGAAAAATGCTATTGAATAACCTTTAAAATAAGTCTCATTTGACAGTTCGCCCACAAAATTGATCAGTACAACATGGAGAGCAGTATCATGCCCAGACAAATAATATTGCTTTGATTAAAGGAAAGACCCTTTAAGATTAAATACATTTCATGATCACACACATTCTGACTTGGCTGCAGGAAGGTTGCTATGGTAGTTTCTTACCTACTCAGTTTTTGCTAACCCAAAAAAGAGAGGGGTGATATTTCAGATTTTTAAATCTCCATAAAATTATTTACAAATGATATTCACTTCAGCTGAACCCTCAACTTGCAACTGAAAGTTCAAATGATTCTGATCTACATAAAGTAGAAAACAGCACTGGAGAGCATGCCTGAATCAGAACTATAATAACCCCCATCTTCACAAGCATAAATATTTCCCTTTTTGATTCAAGGACTAAGCAGGAATCTTAATTTTGCAATTAAAATAAGAGACTCTACCTTGAAGTTATTGGAAATCCATTCTCAGCACTTAGTATGATTTTTCCCATTCATATTTGTGACTCTGGTGTTCATACAATCACATTGCCACAGTACAGAAAGTTCCAAACTTACAGAGTACATTTCAAAAGTTCATCTTTAGTTATCTGGAACTCAGAATGTGTTCCCATAGAAAAATATAATTTAAATAATGGTTAGTATATAAAAGCCTTTTAACAAATATTACTGAGAAACTAAGTTCCAAATTGAAACATGCTAGGAATACATTTCCCTTTTGGCAAGAAGAGAATAATACTCCCATCACACCAACTGCTCTGTCTGCTAGCTATGCAACATAAGAGGAACATAAAAGAGCTAGGACCATTCATTCCTAACTCACCCCAAAAAGCTGCCTGGACACTTTCCTTCTAATCACCCCCTTACACCAGCCACTTCTATATGTAAAATCAGAAGCACTTAAACTTAAGCATGTCTAACAGAAATCCTCCTGCTTATTCCATCTTGAACTGATCAATTAGCTATGCCAGAAATCTATTCACCTACAGTTTTTTAAAAAAAATTCAAACCTTCTATTCAAAAGGTTTTGAAATTCAGTTGTTTTTTGGGAGAATAAAAGGAAGGGCTACATCACACACAGTTAAGTAAAAAAAAAAAAAGAAGTTACTTCAAAGCATAGTACTTAATTGCTGTGTATAACAATACCAAATCAAAACAAGTTTACAATAATTGAGCATTAAATTCTGAGGGAAAATATACACAAGTTTCCTTAAGGAAAATTATGGTTTTATTTTTCCTCAATATACATTGAGAAAACAAAATAAAAAGGTTCCACAAAGCAGGGCGAAAGAATATGTACAAAAGCGGGATGTGCCAAATGAATGCCAATGTACAAGAGTATATGGACTGAGGATTCTTCCAACTTCAGTCCAGCCATCTCATGACCTTCCCAACAAAGGTGATGCAAGGTCTTGGACAATTTTTGAATTTAGCTGAGGAATGCTGCTGATCTTCATGAGTTTGCTACTTGCATACTTATTCTTGATGGCCTGAATGATTCCAAATAAAGCAATATTAGTTCTGGCCATTCCAAAAGCAGTTGATAAAACATAAAAACGTGATCCAACACGGATTCTCCAAAGAGAATTACTATCTCCTGAGAAGAGGAGACGTGGACATTCAAAGACATAACACAACAGACATTTTCGTGGTGCTTTATTTACAGTTACAAGGTCAGTTACTCACAGATGTTATTCTGTTTAACCCTCACAACCACTTTACAATCAATCACCCTCAGTAACACTAAATATTATTTCCTCCCATATTTGTTAATAGGAAGAAAAAAGACTACAGCAAATGGAGATAAAGTGCTTTGGGGATCCAAAGAATATATTTTATAGACTGTGCTACAAGAGAGCAGAGATGGTAAACATCCACTTTGCTACATAAACAGTGACGTAAGTATAAAGGGATAGCTACTTTCAGAACTGTCACAGTCAGCAATAAATACAAACAGGAGCTAATGATCATCAGGTCAAAGTCATCAAGGACCTGGATATGACTTCCTAGCACCAATGGGACCCCCAAAAGGGACAACACCCTGCCCTTCTTGTCAATCACACATAAAGGAAAATGAATCAAGTCTTGGGGCAAGTAGCACTCTTCCTTGGGTAACTAGGACAGAACAACAGAGCCCAAAATAAAGGACTGTTGTGTATGAGGAAGACAGACTGCAATGTGTCCATACAGACAGTACAGGGATCCTCAGACCTGCCTTAAGGAGGCCACACAGTTCTGCCAGTCACTTAGAAAGCCTTCCAAAAGGGCAGCTAGGTGGCACAGTGGATAGAGCACTGGCCCTGGATTCAGGAGGACCTGAGTTCAAATCTGACCCTCAGACACATAACACTTACTAGCTGTATGACCCTGGGCAAGTCACTTAACCCCATTGCCTAGGCAAAAAAAAAAAAAGAAAGAAAGAAAGAAAGCAAGCCTTCCACAAATATTTCTGGTCACTCACCTATCACATAGTCCTAATAGCCTTTTGATCTTTTCTTTTGGAAGCCCAAGATGCTAAAGTGGTATAACGATGAATTCAAAAGAATAACAATTGGAGAACTAGACAAACCCTCTCATTTTAGAGGAAAGTGAAGCTCAGGGAGGTAAATGTATGTGCCCAAGGTCACACAGGTAACTGGAGGCAAAGTCAAGATTCAAAACTAGGTTTTCTCATTTAGAATAACGAACTATCTTCTTATGAAACTAACTGATAAGTCCCAAATATTCCCAGAGTTAACTTTCTCAGGGAATTTTTTCCCTGACAAAATGCCACCCCTAATGTAAAAACCTTTTGCAGGAATGGCCTTCCATATCTACTGAGTAAGCCATTTACATAAAAATCCCCACGCTGATGAAGGAATAATACTTACAATAAATTTTGTCAAGTTTTCATTTACTTTTACTATATTCTTGGCCATATGCTGCATCACTTCCAATACATCATTCTCTGAATAACCAGTATAATACTGTTGCTTTAGGCTCTAGAATATACAACAAACAGAATAAAGAAGTAAGCAATAGAAAGGAAATCTGTTATATTTCAACATCTTAGAATAGCTCATTTATAAAGACCATAAAGACAGATAATCTCACCATTAAAAAAAAATAGGTCCTTAACCCTGACTACTACAATCAGACTGTCACAGCTTAGTTTATAAATAAAGACCATCTTTCTATTCTGAGGCACTAAACCAAATGACATTTTAAAATACTTTTAAATGAATTGATTCTTTTCACAGTTACAATAATATAGAACTATATTTTTAGAAATAAAGCTTTCATCCTAGATATTGAGAAGAACATCATAAGCAGCAAAAATTAAAAGGCAAGGTGGAGCTATGTGGAGTTCCATTGCACTCCAGACTGAGGAGCCCAGGTATCTCTCAACCTCTGCAGCTAAAAGCTGAGGTCCCCAGTCCTATGTGCCTCATTACTATTTAACGTACAAGATTTTCTCTGAAAAGATTCAGAAATAGGAAATAAAATGTTGCCAAAAGCAGCCCACCCAATGCAGGAACACTTTAAACAAAATGTTATCCTCCAGGGATTTTTGTTTTAGTCTACTTAAGGCCTAGTAAACAGAGGACAACACCAGACCAAAAAGCTAAATTCAGCCAGGCAGACTGGCTTTAGATTATGAAACCTATCATGTAGGTCCTAAGATCACTTTTTTTTTTTCCAATACCCCATTTCCCTTATTTCTTATTTCCCAGTTACATGTGAAAACAATTTTTTTAACATGTGTTTTTAAAACTTTGTGTTACAAATTTTCTCCCTTCCTCCTTCCCCACCCACCCTTATTGAGAGGGCAAGCAACTCGATACAGGTTATACATGTGTAGTTATGCAAAACACTTCCATAGCAATCATGTTGTGAAAACTAAGTGTATTTCCCTTCATTCTATCCTGACCCCCATTTATTCTATTCTCCCTTTTGACCCTGTCCCTCCTCAGAAGTGTTTGCTTCTGATTATCCCCTCCCCCAATCTGCCCTCCCCTCTATCATCCCCCTGCTCTCTTGTTCTCTTCCTCCCTTATTTTCCTGTAAGGTAAGATAGATTTCCATACCCAATTGTGTATGTTATTCCCTCCTTAAGCCAAATCCTATGAGAATTAGATTCATTCATTCCCTCTCATGTTCCACCATTTCCCCTCACTTCTTAAAAGCCAAAGTTCATTCCTTTATCCATAAAGTAAGTATGAACTCTGAAAATCGTGCTTAAGCAATGCAAAAGAGCAAGGACTTTTGAAACAAATCCTAATGAAGCACAAAGAGAATTTGAAGACCAACAAAGGTATATTCCACGAGAGCAGGTTACAAAGTTTGAAACAATTAAGCTGAAATGAGCACACCTTGAAATGAACAATTGTCCCTTTTCCCACACCTCACACCAGAAGACCCTAAACCAGGGGTGGGGAACCTGCAGACCTAAACTGTATCATAAACTTCTAACAAAATGCTGCACTCACCCATTTTCCTTGACCTAAAACCTTTTGAGACAAGCAAGAAGCAGCAGCAGCTATCTCGGAGGGATGATAATGCACCATGTCGTAGTCAACAATTGTTAGCTCCATCAAGTATTTGGCTAATGTATGCTGTTCAGCATCTGCCTGTGAAAGAATCACATCCATTATGTGGTCAGGGTTGTTAACTTGGAAAAAAATCAGTCAAAAAAGACAGCATAGTATAGTGGATAGAAAGCCAGCCTCCAGGTCAAAAAGTCCTACCTCTCCCAAGATACAGGCGGTGTGACCCTGGGCAAGTCTCTTAACTTTTCATGGTCCCAGGCAGCTCTAGAAGATTAATGTTACAAAATAGCTGTTGATCTGCATTAGCAGAGAGAGTTTCTGTACTGGGAGTTCCCTACCCCAATGAAATTGCAGGTCTGACTTGAAAATCAATAAATAAATAATCCAAGTCAAAGCTATACAGATGTAAATCCACCTTACTCCATCCTTTCCCTGGCACTGAAAACTTGTATTTTGTAACACATTGGAGAAGCAATGGAAAAGGAAGTTTCCCTATTTTCTTGAATAATATTATAAGCCTTTTAAAGATTAAAAAGACATTTCCTAGTAAATTCACAATTTCCTATCAGATAAATGCAGGTAAGGCAAAGTGCATCATTTTAAATGCTTCCAAATTAGCAGTCAAAATCGCAGTAATTCAAAAGCTTGACTGTTAGTTGCAGGAAGCTGAAGACTCTCACCTCACCAGCTTTCGATGCTCGTCTTAAGAAGTGCAGTGGAAGTGGTCGGCCCAATTCAAACTTCAGTTCTTTCAGAATCAAAATTTCCATTTCTCGAATTTGAGAGCTAGTGTATGCACTGTCTGTGATGTAAACAAAGTCCTCAACATTTGGAGAAAATATCTCTTCATACTTGGAAGCCAAAAGAAGCGCCGTCACTCCAACTAGCTGAAGCTTCTTCCTAGAGACTGGCTGAACCTACAAGAAATAATGTTTCTTCTATTACACATACAACAACAAGACACCAAATCCTCCCTCACACCCCGCAAATTAACGAAAGGGATTCCAGAATCCCAGATTCCTATGGGGAAAGACAATGAGGAAAGGGATTTTTTAGAACTGAAGGATTTGCCCTCATTCCCCAAGGTGAGTCAAGCTAAGATACTGAGAGTAAAGCTAGGGGTGCATGTCCCTACCCGCCTGGCCAGTGGTGGCTGGGGGAAGGGAATAGGCCTTTGTCATCGTTGCAGCCCTCATATCAGTCCGTTCCCCCTGAAGTGAATCATATTTATAAGTTATGGGGAAAAAAGAACATTCTACATGGGGGAAAAACTTCAAGCTAAACTCTTAAAAGATGTTTGCATGCAAATGCATGGCTTTGGAATTACATTTAAAACTATGATGTGTTTAAATTAACTGAACGTTTAGTCAAATATGGCAGCATTGTTCATCTGTGTTGCTAAATTGAAATTTAAGTCATTGTTACCCGTACCAAAGTATCATACAAATTGATCAGAGACATACACATTGTGATGAATAAAAAGGTTCAAGTTATTTGGGTTATTACTTTAGCAACTGAAGCTTCCAAACCTTTTAAGCCACAGTTTTCAGGCCTCATCTTTAAAAATTGTGAAAGGAGAACAGAGACTCCAAACTTACCCTCCAATTTAGCAAATAATTACTAAGTGCCCACTACGTGTAAGGCACTATGAATTATGAATAGAAAATATGAAAACTCAAAGACAGCAAACCAGCCCAAAGACATTAACCAAACCATTGGTATGAAGTTTCTAATATAATACCTACTTGTAAGAAACGATCCATGATTGCAATACACATATAAAGAGTTTCCTGCAGAAGGTGAAATTTGGAATGGACTTGTACCAACCAATCAACCAGGATGGCTCGCATACGCCCATTGATGTCTTTTCCATCTAAGAAATGTGGGTTTATAGATTGCTGAACCTACAAAATTTAAAAATAATAATAACCCTATCGTCATGTGTTGCTATAGATACATGCCCCCAAATTACCATAGCATTCTACACATGTAAACAATTCTACCTCAAGTTGTCTCAGATACTGGTAAATATCCTTAACGTAGTCACTGCAAAGCTGAGGATTCTCCCAATCTTCATCATCAATGTCCTCTATCTTGCATAACAGTGCATTAGAGAAAGCCTGGCACAAGTCTTCTTCCTTCACAGAAACTTCCATAGGGGTTGGAGACAGACTCTAAAAGAAGAGAAATTAAAACTACGAGGTGCACAAAAATAAAAGGTTGTAAAAGTGAAGAAAAAGCTGGTTTTACATTTCAAACCTCTTATAAGCTTTTTTTTTTGGAAAACAAAAAGAGGAAGAAAACCTCTTTTTTAGTTTCAATTGAAGATACGTGAATGAACAATAATGGCATAAATTAACTGCAATAAGTTTCAATACTATGGTTGAATCATCCAAGTAATTGTTTGCTGATGAAGATTTTTTAAAAAGTCACACCAGAATACTGGAAAAAAATCTAAACACCTGGACTCAGAGACTACCAAGGTGAGAATCCACATCAACAGAAGGAGCTTCTACAGGTAAAGAAAAAACATTATCTTCATTTAGACTAATTCATTCTAAAATGAGAAATCACTTGGAAAATGAACCATCAGGAAAGCCTGGTTTTCTTCTTCCAATCAAAAGAGAAACAGGAAGAGGAAACTGAAAACTGAATAAACTGTATAATCTAATACTTCAGCTTCATATGCTGATCTAACTGGAATTCTTTTATCAAGAAATTAATACAACTAGCATATTTTTAAAAATGAAATGTACATATGTCTGATTAAATTTAAAAAATAAATAAATAAAATGATGAGTATGGCCTAGAGCTATGGCACCTGACGTAAAGCTTGTAACTACCTACCTTAGATAAAGAAGAGGCTATAATAGTATAGCAGTATAAAGTCACATTACTGAACAATGTTCCTTATTTATTATTTAAATTTAGCTTAGCAATTTAAGTCTATCCTAAAGCTCAACAATTTTTTCATTCCATTTATGACAACCTAAAACAAACATTAAACATAAAAATCAAAGGCCCAAGTTAGTTTTCCATTAAAGGAGAACATTAGCTCAAATATTTTACATTTTAATAATACAGTGGCAAGCCGTACATACCCCTTACATATATAAAATGCAATATGTTTTTAAGAAGAGGGTCTTAATTCCAAAAGACTCATGATGGAAAATACTAAACACATGCAGAGAAAGAACTATGGAATCTAGATGCAGATCAAAGCACATACTATTTTAACTTTTTTGGTTTTTTTTTTTCTTTCTCATAGTTTTTCCCTTTTGTTCTGCTTCTTCTTTCACAACATAACTAATGTGGAAATATGTTTAACATGATTGTATAAGTAGAACCTATATCAGGTTGATGCTTGATTTCTTGGGGAGAGGGGAAGGGAGAAAAATTTGGAACTCAAAATTTACAAAATTGAATGTTGAAAACTATCCTTACATGCAATTGAAAAAATAAAATATGACTAAGGAAAAAAAAAAGAACTGGGTCTTGATTATTTTTGCCAATCACTTGAAATAAAACATCCAGTCTGACTGAAGCCAAAGTGCTGAGATTAATTGCAGTCATGGACACAAAGAGCCATTGTCAGATATCTACCTAAAATATTCTTTCTCAAGGATTGTTTAAGTAAGAGGAGAGTAGTTGGTGGAAAGATTGACCTGTCCACCCCCAAAATAAAATCTAGACTCTTTTAAACTCAGACCTCTATTTTTCTTGCTTTTTTTTCCTCAACCAAAACCTCCTCATGCTAAGGATGAGATTCATCTACTTTGCCCATTTGTGTGACTTTGGGCACATAATTTAACTTCTCTGAACCTATTTCCTCATCTGCAACATAGGAATAATAAGGGTTGTCCTTTTTCATAAGATTTTGAAGAAAGTATGTAGTAAAAGGTAAAGTACCATATTAACAGGGGCAATGCTCCACTGGTAGGCTATCGAGGAAACATTGGTTTAACTGTGGCTGAGAGGACTAACCTACTTCTGTGAAGGAAATGCAGTTGTGTCCATGTACCAGATTTACATTTTGTCCTATCAGTTATAATCATAATGAAATTATTCTGTTTGATGTGGGGGACAGATTTGAGGGTCATTTCCACTTATAAATTTCTATTTTATCCAAGTTAACAAAATTCAGATGTCACAAGGGTGTGACAAAGATGCTGCCCCCTTTACCTTAAAGCTTACATCTAAGTCTTTCAGTTTGACCGCCAGACATATTAAAAGCTTGCTTGCTCAAGCTCAGAAATAATATGATAATTCCTAGAAGACCGATTTTACACTGCTAGATAGAAAACTCATTAAGAAACACAGACTAAGATCTTATTTTGAGCTCAACAGTTCCTTGAGACCTCTGAGCCAACTATTCTTAGGTAGAATTTCTGCTACTCAGAGAATCTAGAAGTTTTTGAAAAATCAGGTCAACCAGGTACAGTACAAGTGTTTTTGAAAGGCCAAATCCAAGTAGAAGAAAACTAGCACACTGATGAGAGCACATTCCAGGAGATAACTGAGATAAGTAAAAGCTAGACATAAAAAAATAAGAATGAAAAGTTGCTATATTCGGGGCGGGGGTGGGGGGGGTGACCCATGCAAAAAACTCACTGCCAGGTTCAGGCTTGGTATGAGTCTTACTGGTAAGATCATGAGATCATAGGTCTAAAACTAGAAGAGACACCATCAATCATCTAATTTAACCTGCTCATTTTAACAGTAGTGAAAAGAGGTCCAGAAAGGTTAAATAGTCCAAAGTCACAACAGTAGTAAAATGGTAGTCAGGATTTGAATTCAGGTCCCCAGCTACCAAATCCAACACTCTTCACTTGATCAGACTACCTCTCAAATGTAGCAGAAAGTTATAGGAATATTACACATACTTAATGATTTTGCTTATTTTTGTTGTTGTTGGGTCGTTTCAGTCATGTACAGCCCTTCATGGCCCCATCTGGAGTTTTCTTTGCAAAAATACTGTAGTGGTTTGCCATTTCCTTCTCCAGCACATTTTACAGATGAGAAAACGGAGGCAAAGACAGTTAAATGACTTGCCCAGGGTTACACAGTTACATTTAAACTCATGTCCCCCTGACTCCAGAGCCGGCACTCCTATCTACTGTGCCACCTGGCTTACCCGATTACTGCTTGGGTAGGGTCAAATAGGAGTATAATACAAGAAAATCTGTGAAAGTAAAAAATAATAAAATATGACAGTTTTGACATAAGAGGTTTTTCCTTTAGTTATTAATCTTGCTCTAGGCATAACACATTGAGAATGTTTACTAAGAGTCCTTAGAAGAAACTGTCTATTTCCCAGTGGTTGCATCTAATATTTTTACCATTAGATCAAATAAAGTGAGGGCAGCTAGGTAGCACAGTGGATAGAGGAGCAGCCCTGGATTCAGGAGGACCTGAGTTCAAATCTAGCCTCAGACACATAACATTTACTAGCTGTGTGACCCTGGGCAAGTCATTTAGCCCCACTGCCTAGCACCCCTCCCAAAAAAAAAGAACAAATAAAGAAATCACTGGAAAACAAGTTAATAATATGAATATTACTATCAAAAGGATGACCTAGAACAGAGATTCTCAACTTGCGGCCCATGGACAGATTACACGAGATCTGTGAACTTGGATGTTAAAAAAGGAAAAAAAAAATTATATTTTTATTTTCACTAAAATTTAGCATTTCCTTCAATTACAAATGTAGGCAACAAACATTATGAGGGGTCCAGAGGTTTCACCAGACTACCAAAAGGATCCATGATGCCAAAAAAGTTAAAAACTCCATACCTAGAAGGATTTAATTCTACTATATAAGCTAGAAAATTTCCTCACTAGGGCAGCAAAGTTAGTGAAGGGACTCTAATCATGAACCTCCATCTACAAGCAAAGCCTCAAAGAAAAATGAATATTGGACACAAGCCCATCAAGAATTCCTATAAGATCTGAAAAAAGATTTAAAAAAGAGCAAAAAAATTTTCAAAAATCAAATAGGAGCAACAGAAGAAAAACTGGGAAAAGAAATAAGAGGTATGAAAGAAAATTAAGAAAAGATAATTAACAGCTTGGTAAAAAAAAAAAAGGCACAAAAAATACTGCAGGAAATAACTCCTTAAAATTCAGAATTGATCAAATGGTTTAAAAAAAACCTCACTGAAGAAAATAACTCTTTAAAAATCAGAATTAATCAAATGAAAATTAATGACCCCAGGAGACATCAAGAAACAATAAACCAAAGTCAAAAGACTGAAAATGTGAAATATTTCACAGGAAAAACAACTGACCTAGAAAAACTGATCAAGGAGAGATAATTTAAGAATTACTGGTCTACCTGAAAGTCATGAGCAAAAAAAGAGCCTTGACATAGTATTTCAAGAAAATATAAAGGAAAACTGCCCAAATACTGTATAACTGGAGGGTGAAGTTGAAACTAAACGAATCAATTGGTTGCCTCTTAAAAGAAATCCCAAAATGAAAACTCCCAAGATTATTATAGCCAAAATCCAGAGTTGCCAGGTCAAAGAGAAAATATTGTAAGCACCAGAAAAAAAAGAATTCAAATAACATGGCACCACAATCAGGATCTCACAAGATTTGGCAGTTACCACATTAAAGGAGAGGAGGGCTTGGAATGATATTCTAGAAGGTAAAGGAGCTAGGAGTACAACCAAGAATAACTTACCCAACAAAACTAAGTATGATCCTACAGGAGGAAAAAAATAGATATAATGAAATGAAGTACTTTCAAGCATTCCTAATGGAAAGAAAAAAGCTGAATTGAAAATGTAGCATTCAAAAACAAGACTCAAGAGAAGCATATATATGGTAAACACACAAATGAGAAATAAGAAGAGACTTAATAAGGTTAAATTGTTTACATTCCTATATCAGAAGATGATACATGTAACCCCTAAGAACTTAATCATCATTAGGGCAGTCAGAAGTAGTCTGCTTCAAGGGCATACATGTACATACATACACAGACACACACACACAGACACACACATACACACACACATATACATATATACATACATACATGCAGTTGGGTATAGAAATTCATCTTACCCAAGAGAGAAGTAGGAGGAAAGGGAATTGAGAGAAGAGAGGGGAAGAGGAGGATATAAAAGGGAAGCTACCTTAAGGGGAGGCAATAGTCAGAAGTAAAACA